ACGCTAAGAACGGTGTAGAGACCCCGGAAGAGCCCAAAGACCCATGTCCTTTGCTATTTCATATAGTCAGTGATATCCTTCGAAAGTGGATTATAGGTCATACATTAACTTGAATAATTCACTCTCGTTATTGTTTGTGAGATCTTCGTATGTGCCAGCCTCCAAGATCACGCCACGACGTAAATACAGAATTTTGTCGAAGTACTTCAGGAACGAAATGCTGTTGGTAATCACAATCCTGCCTTTGGAGGCAAGGAGGCCGTAAGGGCCAATAACCTGGTCTTTGGTGGAAGAAGTGTAAGACAAATGATAGACAACTCAGTTGGAAACATACCAAATACATGTCGAGCTACATGGGAATCGACTGCCGCAAGAACGTCATCCAGAATAACCAGGTCGGCTCTTGCATAGACGGCTCTTGCAAGTGAAATCCGTGCTCGTTGCCCACCACTTAACTGGTCAATTAATGAGAAAGGAGTATGGTTGATATTGTGCCAAACAACTTGCCGTGATACCTAAGATGGGATTCGTTAGAATTCAATTCATATATGGTAGAATTAATAGTTTACCTTTCTCACCGACTTCTGTCATATCTCCTTGGGGCATCAAAGCCAAGTCCGGCCTCAACGCGCATGCTAAGGTCAATAACATGAGTTTAGAGTGGGCGTGAGTAGATTTGGACCATTACCGTCCAAAACGAGATTATAGAACACCTCGTCAAATTCGTATGAGAACACAATATTGTCCCTGATCGTAGCGCTCATAATCCTGGGCAAGGTAGCATTGAAAAGTCGATCGCCAAGGAAGAAATGTAGTATAACTCACCATGGGTTCTGAGGCGCATATGAGATACAACCATGTAGCTTTACTTCTCCCTCCCTACGTTGCATTTCGCCGATAATGGCAGAACACAAGCTAGTCTGCGTATCACAAGCCCGTCAATACTTCATTCTCCGTCAGCGACGAACGCACTTACCTTGCCAGCGCCGACGCGGCCCAATACACCAACAAGCTCGCCTTTCCTCACTGCAAGATTGATATCTTCCAATGTCGGACTCGGGGCAATCTTTGACCACGAGAACTCGCCGTCGGTTATGGAAAGAACCTCATCCCCGGCTTCGAGCCTTGGTTTGGCCTTGATGATCTGCCGTGCATCAGCTTGCAATTCATCTGCATTGAAGAACGCTGACAGGCGGTTGATGGAGACAAGAGCCTCGATGATGTTCGAGGTGACTTGGCTAAACTACTCCGAGGTTTCAATACACGGTGTTGACTATAGGACGGAAACAAGAAGTAGGACGAACCATGGCTAACGGGAACTGGAGGAGCATGAATAGGGAGATTGCTGGAAAGATTCTGTCAGAAGTCAGAGGCGTGTCGGAAGTGAACGCGGCCACTGCGAATGAACTGAACGCCACGAGCACTACGTGACACATCATCAGTGTTGGTCTGAGGGGATGACACGAAATGAGACGATGTGTACTTACGGGGGATACCCGTCCATAGGGCAGTATTTAAAGACTATAGAAGTGTTAGGTTTTGTCTAAAACCAAATAGTCAGAGCAAAAGTACGCACTGTAACGACACCGATCTTTCTCAGCATTTTCAGCTCTTGTTCATTTCTTACGAATAGAATTTTTCGGATGAAGGCATTTTCCCATGCATATAGCTTAATGCTAAGCGCAAAAAGTCCAATGTAAATAAGCGGATAACGTCATAGGGACGAACATAGGCTCGCATACCTTCTAATGTTCGCCAACAGCTCGCTCATTAACCTTGTACGATGGTCCCTGTTCTTCATTTGCTTCTCTTGCATCTTCTTTAAGAACCGAGCCGTGAGGGTGTTCAATGGAACAGACAGGATCATTATAGCGACGCCAACGAAGGCGGGCCATCCCAGGATGTCGTAAAGAGAGACAAACGCCAAAGTGATCTATGCCATGAAAGTCAGTAACCCTTACGTTGCATTATTATTCGTCGATCGGAACACTAACCTGGAAAGGTCCAGAAATAGCGATTAATCCGTAGGTGCAAAAGTCCTGTAGACGCATGGCATCCACAGACATCAGGTTGACGATATCGCCAGACGCGCTTCCAATCCCGTCGTTTGAGAGGATGAGAGACTTCTGGTAGATCATAGCAACAAGTCCGGCGCGAACGCGCATGCCACACTCAAAACATTGTTGGAAATACTACAAAGATGATCAACAGACTGAAAAGCCACGTTTGGAATTAAAAGCGAGTTAAGTCACCTGATGGAGAAAGATGGTTTGCGCTATCGAAGCTAAGAACATGATAGCAGCGATGGCGAAACCTTCCAGTGGACTAGGTGCTTCCTGCTGACTTTCTGATCCATGCAGCCGCGCACTTTGGTAGTTTGAGATGAAAGCCAGAAGCCATCGCAACAATTGGGGTTGTAAGAATGCCAGACAGTCTTGCAACAGCTTCAACATTCCAGCGAAGACGTATGGACCACCGTATGAGGCGAACAGTGACACTGCAAGTGATTTACTGCAGGTAGGTACAATATTAGCACGTGAGTCAAGGTGTACAACATCTAGGAACGTACTGCTTCTTCATTGCATTCCGCAGAGCGTCTCCCAAGTTAACCGACTCATCTTTGGGCACCAGCGAAGGCAGATCATCCTCTGTGATGTACGCCTTCGCACCCTTCTTCATGAGATTGGACATCCACGAAAAGGTCCATATGCTGAATATATTGGCAGTCAAGAGTGGGCTCTCTACATGACCTTTCACATAGACTTCGGTATGGTCCTCGTCCGTGAACTCCGGACCAAAGCATTCAAGTACAAAAGCGAACAAGCCGAACACAGCGACAGCCAAGCGAAGGGCGAGAACGACTCGGAAAGCGGTAAAGTTAGACAAGTAGACAGTCCGTGCCCAGATTAAGAGTGCGAGAATGTATGTTGGCCAGAAGAGGAGGATTAGACTCGAGGATGTCCGTGCACGGTAGTGGTTAAGGTACGTTATGCACGGCACCACGGCAAGAGCGATGACCTCGAGGACATAGAACTCAATTAATGGAACATGTCGTTTTGTTGCAATGACGACAACCAAATTCGCTATGCTGGCAGCGAGCGCCAGGCCGAATAACATCTGAGCCGAAATACAAAATGTCAAAATTGCATCGGGTCGATTGATGATATGTCACTGACCAGCTTTGACCTCAACACCCAGACACTCTTGCGACATCTTGCCAGAGGGTCAAACGACCGCAAAATAAAACACCTAAAGGCTGCAAGAACGATGAACACTACGAGGAGCGTAGATAAGATGACACCCTCCTCGAAACAAGGCGTCAAGTCGAATTGTCGCAGTCGTGATATAGGTCCCCATCCCTCCGAGGGATCCGCGCAAGTCTGGCCTGCTTGCATGGGGGTCGTGGGGAACGAGCACGGCGAACACGACAGCGATGGCGCAAAAGTCGAGCAGCGCTAGAACATCCCCCGCATTTATGTCAGTTTCCCTTTGCTGAGTAAAAGGCGCTCGCAATGCAGACGCGTCGTATAAAAAGTAATCTCCGAGTTCGATTCCTCGTGATGACAAATCGATTGCAGCAATACAATACTGCCTGAGTCCCTCCACTACAGACGGTGACACACTGCGATAATCTATGGGGAAACCGATGTAAACCATGTGCATCGTTTCGCATTTACTAGAAATTAGCAAGGGTTTATGTGCTAAGTGCTAAGTGATGTACTACCACCTGCGGTGTTTGGCAGCACACTTAATAATCAACAGGAGGTGCAAGGGCGATCATGCTAAACTCCATGCTCTTCGTCTGCTTCATGTAGTTCTCCTTCACAAACCTTGCAGCGTCTTCTAACAGATTCGTGCACACCCCTCGGTCAATCGGCCCTACACGTCTCCCATCTAGCTCGATCAACCTTCGTTCACCGTCAGTCGCTTCGATGCCATCTTCGCGACTAGGAGGCATAGGTGCTTGCACGAAGCACGTAAAGTGCAGATCCACGTGTTCGTCCGCCGTGGGGGCTCGGGTTTGGCCTGCAGAAGCAGCTTCAGCGTGAATACTGGCGAAAAGGGGCGTTGTCTCTAGCAGTTCGGCACGCTCTTCTGGGGTCTTGTCTACGGATGCGGCGTCAACGATATCCGAGCGTTGATTCAATGCTTGTACATGCCTTTGCATTGATCAATAAATTTTGTAAGCGGGCTCTCCGGTTCAAACGTCACGTTGGACTGCGGTAGGAAATGAGCAAAACGTTCTCGATTACGGAACGCTCATAGATAGTGCGTACGTTGGCAAGAGCGTGAAGCAGTCCCATTGTTCCACAAGCGTTTCCGATCTGCACAGCAACATTCAATACACATGCGGCGAGTGGCAACGCTAGAATCGCACCGTCTGCTTGATCCACAAAATTGTGTTATCAATCGGAGGCAGTCCTCCGGCGAGGGCACGCGTGTCTTCTTCTTTGCGTGTTGTTTCGTATGCAGTATTGATGGGAAACAAAAGAACGACCGCCTTGACTGGCTGGGGCACCATGCCCAGTAACTGTGGCAAGGTTTTAGACCGTGTTCGGAGTCTCTACGTGGCCACATTAGCGTACCTCGGGATCAAACCCATAGACATCTGTGAACTGGTCTTGTTCAGTTATGAGACCTGCCTTGCTCGCCCACTCGAGGCACGGTTAGATTCGTATAACAAAGACAGCAATGCCCGCGTGACGATGAAACTTACTGAGTTCATGACCTACACACGCGACGGAGATGTAGAGGGCAGGCATAAGCACAAATGAACTGTAGATACGATCGTTGCAGATGCTAACTTCAGGGTTACTTTCGAGGGGTATCCATCGTTCAGCCATGTTGAATATTCGCACAGATGGGTTTAGATGATATCAGTTTGTTGACAGAGACCTACTAAGTCCAGTCTAGTACTAGTAGTAACATCGACACGAGTACGTCATTTAGCTCAGTGGCAGCCATTCTGGTACTATCGGTTGGCAAACGGGAATTAGCACGGCTCAGTGGTCTAGTAGTATGATTCCTGCTTCGGGTATTACAACCTCGTCTTTCGGAAGACGGTACTTGCAGGAGGTCCCGGGTTCAATTCCCGGCTGAGCCCTTTTTATTTTCGTTCGTGTTCTGGTATCTGCACACTGCACAACGGCAGAGTAATGTGGTGCGCATCTTTTAGAGAATATTGAGGGAAGCACCGAATTTTTTCAAGGCCACACAGATCGCGTATACCTGCATGGTTTTGGTGAGGCGGCGAAATGAGCGTGGTCTGATGTGACGAGACGCGGTACGGCTGTCACGGTTGTTCAATCCAGAGGCCACAGCGCAGGCCTTCCGAATTCCACAAAACATATAAAATGGCCTCCGTTATCTGTCCTTTGTCTATTTCCTCAGTTTCTCTCAGTTTATTCCAGCTCCCGACGTCTCGTCCTGCTCGTCAGGATGATATCGTCTACGGCTTTCTTCCTTGTCTTCCCGCAGGCATGCATGCACATCCTCATGAGTGTCTTCATCTTTCGCAAGTCAGGCCCTTTACGACCACCAAAGCCTAAGACCCCCCAGCTCGAGGCTCCTGCTGTGACTCTACCTCCTTTCGAGCCTATTCCCTCGGTTGAGCCCATCTTCCTGATTGACCCTCCTCCGACTCGCTCGAATCCGCGGATCGCTCCTCTCCCAGCATACTTGGAACCTGCGGTCGCGTACAACGCGTCTACCACACGGGATTTCGTGCCCGAGAAGGTCATCACAGTCCTGGACCTTTTTTTCACTCTAGCCCTACCTGCAGCTTTCTTCTCTGTCGTTCTCGTGCTCGCTGTTCGTCGGATGTGCTCAGCTGTGGCGAATCGTGCTAGTAAAGCAACGGAGGCCGCCATATTACCAGCCCTGCATATTATGTCAAACCCTGCTGCGTTAGACTATACCTTGTTGGACAACCTCTCAGACAAACACATGGATTACCCCGTAAAGGTGCTCATAGACTGCATCATCGACGCGTATTACGAAATGGCTACGTCGGGCATGTACAGTGATGGCCCTGTTGACGACGATCCCTTTTGGGCAGACTGGCAACCACCTACTTACGACCAGGCCGAGAGCCCTCATACACAAGAACCCGTCAGGGAGGAAACCACTGACCCCGACGCGGTTGACACACCGTTCTTGCTTTCTGCCCATAACAATCGAGCCCCGGATATTATCATACCTGGTCTGGATATCTCACTTGGCCCCGACGGGATGGCTGCCAGTGTAATAGTCCAGGACGGCACAGGTCTCGAGGCTTCGTACCTTGTGCTCGACAACCCTGTTGCTACGCCTGTGGTAGCACACCCTGCTATCGATACTTCTGGTTCTGCAATGGCTGCCCACGATGATAGTACCGACACATCGCCAATTTCGTCCGTAAGCAGCAGCCTGTACGACGATGAAGACACTCCGAGGGCGACTTTCCTGGATGTGAGCGTGGACACTGCTGACATACCAACCGAACCCCTCGTCCAGCCCCCGAAGGTCTCCTACTGTGACATCGGAACTGACGCTTCGCCTCCCGTGGTTCACGAAGATCGGGCAATCGATACTTCAGACTTGGTCCCTGAAATCCGGAGTATTGATGTCGCCGTGGATGCCACCGTCGTCGAGACTTTAGAGGTAAAACCAGTCATCGAGAGCGTTGATGTTGCCATAGACGCTACCGTCGAGGCCATCGAGAGCGTTGGTGTTGCCATAGACGCTACCGTCGAGGCCATCGAGAGCGTTGACGTTGCCATAGACGCTACCGTCGAGACCATCGAGAACGTTGACGTCGCCATAGATGCCACCACGCTCGAGATTTCACAGCTCAAGCCGGTCACCGAGGAAATCTCAGTGCAAACTGAAGACCTGACTTCAACTCCGGTACCTCAAAACGCAGACATCGTCCAAATGGAAGCCCCCGCCGCCACCCCGGAAAATGACATCGGCGACGCTATGGAAGCTTCGTATATGATGATCGACGACGAACGAGACAATGCCCCAGCGAACGTTCCGGACCTAGCCCACGAAGAGCAGCTTGATCTAGGCGCGCTTTCGGAAGTTAGCAGCAGCGCTACCGACATCTCGGGACCCTCTGAACTGGAAACTGGGAATGGTACTGCCGAGCTCACATTCGTTGAAAACGAAGCAAGCCTGGATACTCGGTCGCTTGATGGTCTACCTAGTACAGCAGCTGTGGCCGATGTTGCTCCGGCTCCAGGTTCGCCCATCGCCAACGCCGCTGTCATCGATGCGCAGGATTCAGAACCTGTTTCAACTAAGTCGGACGGGGCACCGGAACCCGTAGTCCCTGGCACATCGGAAGCAACAGAACATCTTTTGAACGAAACTGCTGCTCCTACTCTTGGTAACTCTGTAGGCGGTTCAGGCTCGATCCAAGAGAACCCTATTGAGCAACAGCCGGTGCAGGATGATAGGGAGACTGTCGGTGAAACTGCTGTTGACGGCGCAGAAGATGTTCTTGGTGACGGCATGGATGCTTCGTATCTGCTCGTCGATGACTACATTCCTACTGAGGACAACTCGAAAGTCAATGGTACCGACGACGCTGCCGCTGCTGGCTTGGTCGCGAAATTTGGCAACAACGTCGAAGAACTTCCTATCGATGTCTCTGAAATCACCCCTGCGGACGACGTGAATACTTCTGATGCAGCCCTTGAAAACGACGACGTTGTCGGCACAGACGGAAAGACCCTCGAGACCGTTCAGGACCCCCTGGACAACCAGGATTTCGTCGGAGAAGGCCCAGAGTCCAACCTGCAGGAAAACTCTGCTAGGCCGGTCCCTGTTCCTACTGTCGAGACGACTACTGAGAATGAGACGAACCTTCTAGACCCGGAGGTGAACGATCTCGGCAACCTCGTCGAAGACCTGTCTGCTCCGGCCTATCCTGAAGGGGATGCAGTGGCTGCCATCGAAAGTTCAAGCACTGAAGATCTCCTTGGTGTGAACGGTGATCAGAAAACTGCTGACGTCGTCGCTGATTCCTCCGCCGCTGAGCTTGTGGAACCTGCTCAGGAGGAATCACACGAGGAAGATGCTGAAGCAATGGAGCAATCCATGGAGTAAAGTCCAGTGTACATATCCTAAGGGACCTGGATCCCTCAGCGTTGGTGAGTGTAAAAGTAATGCATCTCAATCAAACTCCGCTTACGCACGACTTTTAGTTGCGTATCCTGATGCTCCTACGCTCATCGTGACAGTTTCCTTGTATTTCGTTTCGGTTTGTGGTGCTATCGTTCGAGTGCCTTCGTCCTTCTAGATAGCCTTGCGTTCATTATGTTCTTGTTTCTTCTGTCTAGTTCTTATGTTTTCCTGACAGGGCATATACACATGTTTCTACGTTAATGCATCGTTAGTGTAGGTATTCTAAAGTTGCGTTGTTTCCATTGCTTCATGGTACTCCCCTATGTTTTAGTAAATTATTTGTACATGTCTGTCTAGAATACACCATTTTATGAATGAGCTCTGCAACCCATGTGTGAATGTACTTATCAATGCGTCCTGTCCATTTGAGCACAAAATACGTCATGAAGAAGGCTCGTCTTTCTTTTCAATTGCTCCCTTTTGCTCCTTGTTCGCCTCCATCATCGGATCTCCTTCATACCCCTCAACCTGCATGTCGTTCAAGCCAAGCTCCTCGTTCTGCTCCCACGTCCGATCGTACACTTCTATCGTCATCTCCGGATCAGGGTCAGGAGCATACAAGTTTTGGACGTAAGAGTCGGCGAGCGGGTCGTCGAGGATGACCGTGAATGGGTTTTCAGCGGACTTCACCTGTGAAACATCATTAAATGGATGGATCTATATAAGCACGGGAGTTGGAAAAAAAACATGCCTCCTTGAGTCTAACTAGGAACTTCCCGAACGCGCCGTCGTCTGTCTTGGCATCATTGAAGACCTTTACGGAGAGTTCCTCGTACACTTGATTGAGGATACCTTCCAACGTCGTGAACCGACCGCCCAGCGTACCCGCCTGGAGCACCAGATCAATCTCGGGAATCGCTAATCCGCAGGACTCGCTCTACCAACAACCCGATTATTTCAGCCATTCTTTTCGACGAGACAGAACCCGATATCCAAAAAAAAACGTGCCTTGAGAATATCCCTGCTGAGATCTTCCCGGTCTGTGACTTTGAGCGTGATTTTCTTGCCTTGCGCTGAGATGGCGGAACCGGACTTGACTTCGTTATCGCGGTAGCCGCACTTGTCGCAGTTTACGGACATGATGAGGATATCTTTGAAGTAAGGAATGTTGACCTTCTTCACTAGGGTATCCGATGGGTGTCCACAACTAGAACAGGACCCAGGGAAGATGTATATTTCTTCGTTCTGACCTTCAAAGCCGCCGCCAATCTCCTCGTCGCGCCTCTCTGGCTCCGGCTCTTCGTCGGGATTAATAAGACTGAGGTCGATGTTCTGCTGGCGTGTCCGTCGGTAGGTGCGTAGATTCCACTTGGGATCTGCCATGCTTCCTACGAACTCGATAAACGAGTTTCCTGTGGGATCGTCCAAGATGACAGTGAACGGCTTCATGGGAACGTCCTTCTTTGAGGATCTAGACACCTTAACAGGTCCGACGGTGTTTTTGTCTTCCTCCTCTCCTTCCTCGTCTTCCTCGTCTGCAAGAATCTCCTTGATTCCGTTGATGATAGTCTCGATCTTGTTGTAAGTCGCCTCGTTCTCGATACGTCGCAGAGGCTGGTCGAGACTGAGATCAGTCATGACATCTCGAAGAAGACCCTCCACAATCGTGAGCGACCCTCGGTTGGGCGGGATAGTGAGCTCAAATTCGGGGATTGTGACGGAGCAGGTTTCTGACTTGACAAGCTGTCTGTCCAGATCATCCCGCGACATGATCCGGGCTGTGTACACAGTACCCTCAGCTGTTCAAACAACTTCAGTGTTGAGTTAATGATGGTATGCATAGCGGTGCTTACGCCGAATGGTTCCCGCGGACTGGATTTCGTTGTTGTTGAATCCGCAGTGTTCGCACCGGAAAGACATGACGATAACTTCTTTGAAAAATGGAATGCTGGTAAGCAGCAAACGAGTGACACCCTATGTCGATGCAGAACT